CATTATTAAATGCTTTTAAGAATGTGTGTGAAGCAACAGTTTTCCTTTCTTTTGATGTAATTTTAATAAAAATGAATGCTTTACTAATCACGATCGGTCTCTGCGCAGGCAAGAGGCACTCCTGGCAGCGATAAGTGAGAAAGACGCCAATATCGCCTTGCTGGAACTCTCCTCGTCCAAGAAGAAGAAAACCCAGGAAGAGGTCGCAGCTCTGAAAAGGGAGAAGGATAGTCTGGTTCAACAGCTCAAACAGCAGGTAAGACTCAAACACTGACATCCAAGGAAAAACCAGGAAAGCTTTTTGAGAGGAATGCAGGTTCCAAATCTGGAAGAAAAAAAAAAGTAAATAAAAGCAGTGGGAACACAGGTGAGGTGACAGTGACAAGAGTAGTAAAGAAAAACAAGACTGGCAGAGAGAAACTGAGTCCAGATGTAACCGCAGCACTCCAACCACAAAGGGTAAATTTAGGATTAACCTACCACTCCTACTCTCACCACATGCACACACAGAGTTCTGAACTTCAGCAGAGTTCTGGTGGCAACATTTTCTTATGAACTGGTATTTATGTAAATGTTCTGTCCGCAGACACATGCACACTAACACACACAAAACCTTGCATGTCACCTTACTGCCACGGTTAGATGTTAATAAGTTCAAGCACACAAATGCTCACACCAATGTGTACACATTCCCTCAGGCCAAAAACAAGGATATAAACATGACCAAATGCCTCTGTGGTTCCACACAGAGGTCTATTCATACACACACACACTCCCACACACACACTCCATAACGCAGTTAAGGTTCTCGTGGGTCTTTTGAAATAACCAACTCCTTAGTGAATGAGCCTACTGGGAGTTTGGTGGATTTCTTCTTTACTGTTCTCTCCTCTGTATGTCTCATCATTTCTCTGGATGTGATATTACTTTTATTAACTTGCTTAACCAACGAAGTATACGATGAGGTGCTCTATACTTTTTAGTGGAGCTTAAGTTTAATGTCACAGTAGTAAATGTAGATATCTTTCAGTATTAAATTAATATACACCTTAACTTTTGTTTATGGTAAGCCATAAACCATAAGCCATCCTTCTACTAAGGAAGGTTGTGATAGACAGTGGGTAAGAAGCATATTTCTTATTCCACAAGGTCAGAAAACATATAAAGTCTCTTCAGGAAGTTCTGGATGTCCCCTCAGTTGGGTCTGCCTGTAAATCCTCCAAAGGTCGGTGCCCAGGAGGCACCCTAACCGGATCTCTGACGAGACAGCTGTGGCTTAGGGGTGTCTACTAATCCCCTGTGTCTATAAGATTCTTCATTTTGCCCTTGATACATTAATACATTAATTAAGAGTGTCAGAATATTAGATCAAAGTTCTGTAAAAAGCAATGTATGAATGAGTATATTTGGGTCGACAGACGGATTCGTGCTGCGGCTGCAGTGATACGGACGCTGTACTGGTCTATTGTGGTGAAGAGAGAGCTGAGTGTAAAACCGCAGCTCTCAATTTACTGGTCGATTTACGTCTCTACCCTGACCTATGGCCATGAGCTGTGGGTAGTGACCGAAAGAACGAGATCGCGGGTACAAGCGGCAGAAATGGGCTTCCTCCGAAGGGTGGCTGGCCTCTGCCTTAAAGATAGGGTGGAAGTTTGGCCATCCGGGAGGGGCTCAGAGTAGAGCCGCGGCTTATCTCTTTATTACCAGTCCAGTCCAACGCCTGTGCTCCTTCTAATGCCACAACAATCCACCTCATGTTCCACTTCCTGATTAAGATTCTTGATGTTTGAAAGCATTCGCTTGGGACAGTTATTCCCTCAAACCAAAGGGAGCCAGAGCACTCCAGCACTTCCTGGCAAAGAACCATGGCCTCAGACTTGGAGGTGCTGTCTTTCATTCAGGCTGTTTCACACTTAGATGCAAACCACTCCATTGCATGCTGAAGATTACGCGCCAGTGAAACCAACAGAACCACATCGTCTGCAAAAAGCAAGGATACTATTCTGAGGTTTCCATAATGGACACCCGACTCACTCTGGCTAGGTCATGAGATACTGTCCATGAATATCACAAATAGGAGCAGAGACCACGGCCAACTAAGTATGGAGTCCAAATCGATAGAAAACATGCTTCACGTCGACAAAGGAACTTGCTAAAACACACAGCTAGTAGCAAATACAGATTTATGATGCTCAAGATGAGTCTACCTCTATCACAGCCAAAGCTTGATTTTTAGCAGCTAATAAAGCAGAGACTGTCAGGCTTAACTGTCAGGCTTGTAGCATCATTCACAAGCCCTTTCATAATTACAGTCAAACAGATGTTTTCTGTCAAGTACATTTGGGATTAGTTTTCACCAACTTTGCTGTCAGCTTTGTGGAAGAACTCAAATACTAAAGGTGTTACGTTTCATACATTATACATAATAACAAACCCAGGACTGATCTTAACAAAATTCAGCTGTTAAATTATACACGGAAGTGTGAAAAAACAGGAAAATTACTGTACAGGGAATCCCTTTCTAACTTTTTTCCTTCCCTCCACTTTTTGCACTGTTTTTCTACATTTTACTTCTTTTTTTTTTAATTTGACCTTTGACCTTTGTTATCGGTTGCACTTTCCATTTTATGTTTTGCTCAATTACTGCCAATACATCCCAGACAAAAGAACTCTACAGAAATACCATCCAAGTTTTTTTTTTTTTTAAATTTGATAGTTGCACGAAATGTAACTTTCACTGGTGGAACTGTCTGTTAAACTCGCTTAGATCATATAAAAATGTATTATCTAAGCATACTCTGTGTGTAATCAGCAATCTCGTAAGCACAGTGCACACCAGACATGCAGATATGATAACGACACATGGTAAATCATAACTAAGCAGAAATCGTAGAGCTTTACATTCACTTTAAAATCCCATGGTTCAGATTAACTTGTCATAAGGACCACTAGAATACATGTGCTATCACAAGACTTTCGTGTTCAATGTTGCCAAAAGTTGACTTAATGTATGGAAGCTCCGAGGTTTCAAAAAGACAAGCATTGGCTATGCAAAAGAAAAGCAACATTTGCACGCCACAGTGTTTGAATAGATGTTTAAGAGTGCAAGGTGTTAGAAAGTAGTGTCAAATGAAGTCAGAGTAACAGTCCTCGCCCTCTCTCTTTTTTCCTTCCTCATCCCTCCATCTCGTCTCCGTCTCCGTGTTCTATTTGAAGTCATTTATGACACTTCAGGGTCTCGAAGGTGGTTACTGACAACACAGAGACTCAACTGTCTGCTGCTATGAGTGTGCGCATGCATGCAAGGGTGTGTAACGTTTTGCACAGCTCCAAGTCTCTCACTCTCTCTCTCGCTCCCATTCTCTCTGTAGAGCCATAATGTTCAGTCTCCAGTGATGGATCACAGCGGAGACTTCCTCAGTATTCCTGTGTGTACGCATGCATCTGTTTGCAATGTTATCAAGTAAGCTGAGGCTTATGTAGCATTTTCTTGTGTCACGGATTGACTTTTAGATGCTTATAAATTAACTGACAAGTGGACAGAGGCAGAGTGATAGCATAAAATTAAAACTGAGTCTAAGTTTTTTGATGACGAGTAAACTCTGGTTGTCGTAACGCCTCATGTGGCGGGCAGGTTTCAGTTAGCAAGCTAACTTTGGGTTAATACTCTGGGTTTGCAGTTTTATGAATGCGGTTCACTTATGCGTGTGTTAGAAAAGTTGTTTGAAAAAGTTTTTGAAGTTTGTTTTTTGACGACGACCAGTGAGTCACATGTCAGAGTTGGGGTGTTTTTTGATGGAGTGCTTAAATACTGTTTCCAGTCTGGTCTGAATTTGGGTTTCACACAGCACAGTAACCTATGCCGCAGAGCTGTCAGACCCCACTACAGAGCAGGTTAAATTCAGAGAATTACATTTCTCGTGTCATGGAGCTGTTTGTGGAGCAGAGTAGTAACAGGCATGTAGAATTGATCTTACCCTATCTAATATGAAATTTATTATAGATTGAAACTATTTCAGTTAATCCATTGCAACGTATTAATGCTGTGTACTAATGATATGGCGATTGTAAGCACATTTAATAAACCAGTGAATACAAGCAAAGAAGATTTGTATTTGTTGCGCTTATACTGCATACGTTAAAACGCACCTGTGTCCCTGAAAGCTTTTCCTGCATGTTAACCTTTGACCCCCAGCTGCAGGAGGCTGTAGATCAAGGTAACTTCAGC